AAAATCTGTCTGTACTTATAACCGGGAATTTCCTCCCTGTGAAGGCATTTATGACTGATGATCAGACCGGCCGGGAAGATCTGCCGAGGACACGGAAACAAAAGACCATTTCACGGTTCACAGCCTATTTCGCACTCGCGCTCCCTAAAGTAAATGACGTGCCGGCTGCCCTCCCGGCCCGCTCAAGTGCAGGCAGGGACAGAGTGCCACTGACCAGCAACCCACTTACACATGAGTGAGCCACTACTCTCCACCCCAAATAGTTAAAACATACCTCGCTTGCAGTTTCATGTACGTATGTGTGTGTGTACATATGAAACGACCAATCTGGGCTCACATTTGGGAGAAGCAGGGGATTAACTCTGGGCTCTGTCTTGAGTCTCCTGGACCAAGGCCCTGCCCCCCAAACACCTTTCTTATTAAGATCAGAAGTTAACTTCCATGGCCTTTGGCTATCCTCTTGTAAATGCCAACACTTCGAGGAAGGGGATATGGTTTATTCTTTCCTGAGCTGTCTCTCTGGGTGATGCTCGCTTCCACTGGTATCAAATATGTCCACCGAGTTTTGAATTTCAGGGTTTTTAAAAAATTTCTAGAAGTTCTACTTGGTCCCTTTTCACATTTTCTATGGCACTCTTTATAGTCTCCTGTTCTCTGAAGATACTTTCTTGCTTGTCATTTCTTTCTTTAAATGTGATAAGCATAACTGATTTTATAACCCATGTCTTATCATTCTAATGCTGCAGGTCTGTGTAGATGGGTTCCCGTGGGAGTTGCTGGTCCTGGCTCGTGTTCTGTTTCTATATATCCTAGGTTATCTTGACTGTGTGCTGGTCATTGCCCTGAAAAATTTATTTTGGGTTGAATCCTAGCGACTTAGTATAAATATGCTTTTCTCCAGAGAGGCATTTCCTTGTGTTTGCCAGGTACCTAGAGCTGTAACAGGTGAGTCCGCCTCAAACCAAACTCAGGGTATGAGGTTTCCTGGCCCACCCTGAGTGTGGATACCCAGGGTGTGAACCACACGAGGGCCTTTTTGTGACCACACCTGTCAGGAAATGTAATTTTTCCTTTCTTTTACTTCTCCTATTGTGTTCAGTGCCAAGGCTGCCTTCTCCACAATTCTCAAAGGCAAGTTTGCTTCTGGTTCACTTTTATCCTAAGGGTGCAGCTCTTTGGGGCCCCAGTTTAATAATAATAATAGTAATTATTATTAATAATAATAATATCAGTAATAATAGGAAGGATCTCCTATTACATTTCCCATTTGGAGCGGGCTCAGGGCTTGACGTTTGCTTGGCTTGCCTGCCCTTCTCAGGCTGTGGAAGTCCCTGGCTTCTGTCTGCAAAAGGGCTCTATCAGATAAAAAAAGAAACTACTAGAAAGTACCTGAGTTTAGAGGCTAGAGACAAGACAACGGGTCAGGTTAGTATGGTGGTTCCTCAAAAAAATGAAGCACCATTTGATACAGCAACTCCACTTCTGGGTATATGGACAGAACATCACGGACTTGAACCAATGCTTGTGTACACCTGTTCATAGTGGAATCCTTCACAATAGTCAAGAGTCCACTGACAGAAATGGACAAACAAAACGTAGTACATACACTCAATGGAACAGTATTTAGCTAAAAAAAAGGGAAGGAAATTCTGACACATGCTACAACGTAGAGGAATATTGGACACATTATGTGAAATAAGCCAGACACAAAAGGATGACTACTGTGTGATTCCACTTATATGAGGTTCCTAGAGTAGAGACAGAAAGTAGGATGGTAACTGGCAGGGGTGGGGGAGGGTATGGGGAGTCAGTGTTTAATGGAGGGACAGAGTCTCAGTTTGGGAAGGTGAGAAGTTCTGGAGGTGATGGCGGTGATGGCGGCACAACCATGTCAATGTGCTTAGCACTGAAAAATAGTTGCAATGGTAAATTTTAGGGTATATATATTTTACCACAATAAAACACATTTTTAAAATAAAAGGTCTGGCTAATTTTGCCAAGGGCTGCTAGACCCACTCAGCAAAATTCCACAACATGCCTTGTGTTCAAAGGCTTAATACTGACCAATGAAAGTCTTAGAAGTTAATTGCTGGGTGTCATAAATACAAGTCTGACCTCCCTAGAGCTTCGGAGGCCACATGCTGAACCTGCATCAATGTGGGAAAACTAGCACCGCTTGTCAACAAACACATATATAATTACACATTTCCCTTAAAAATGTAAGTGCAACACGTGTTCCTTCAGAGGTATCAGGCATCAGAAATGGTATCAGGATTGTCATTCAGGTGTTGATCTACAATATTAATGGAACTGCTAAGTAAATATTAGGGAAAAATGGAAGGGATAAGAGATACAAATCTCTAAAGTATTTCCATTGGAAGAATAAAGAAATTTCTTCTTTTTGTACTTAACATGGTTGTACTGTCGCATGTCTCCCTCCTGATCACTACGTATAATTCTGCTACAGATAATATATGTTAAATACAATGTATACCTGCTATGCAGCCACTATGTAACAAACAACTAAACATAAATGAGGCATGAGATAAATGTACAGTTGAAATATTTTAAGATACAAAGTTTTGAAAACATGCATTTCAGTAATTCTGGGAGTCTCTGAACTTCTTCTATTAAAAAAGAAAGAAAAAGTTCAGCTCAGAAGGTTTTATGGAAATTTCTGGGTATAAAACCAACACTAGGTAATACCATAAAATAAAAAACTGGCAAAACAGTAGAAGTCATATCCTCTCTCTTTTTTGTTTGTTAATCCTCACCAGAGGATATTTTTTTCTATTGATTTTTTTTTTTTTTAGAGAGACTGTAAAGGAGGGAGGGAGGGGGAGCGAGAGAGAAACATCAATGTGACAGAAACACATTGATTGGTTGCCTCCCACACTCGCCTCAACTGGGGCCGGGGATCAAACCTGCAACTTAAGTATGTGCCCTTGACCAGGAATGAAACCCGAGACCCTTTGGTGTGCGGGCCGACACTGACCACTGAGCCACACTGGCCAGGGCAGAAGCAGCATCCTTCATTGTGACCCCATGAATGGCCCACGCTGAGGCCACTACACTGCAAACACAAAATTTACCGACATGCCTATGAATATGTTCATTTCCAAATAACAGCAGCACGAGTGCTTATCATGTGAAAAAGACCTCAGGAAAGGTACCAGCGAATCGGAGGAGCCTTCCTCCTTCGGACATATAGTGATAACAGCTAAGACTTGCTCGTTGCTTACTAAGCGCCAAACACTGTTCTAGTGCTGTGTACCTACATCTCTGCATCTGTATCCTCTTTATCAATATCATCTAAAACTTCATCTGTATCCGTATCAATCCATTTACTCCCTACAACACCCTCTCGTTCCCATCTCAAGGATGAGAAACCCGAGGTGAAGGGGAGCGTGGGCTTCCCCAGGGCCATACAACTGGTGAGTGGGGAAGCTGGGGGTGAGTTCTGGCTCTAGAGCCCACTACCCACTATGCTCTAGGGCCTCTCCACATAAACACGGAAATTCGGGGAAGACGGGTAGCATTAGGCTCTTTCCACATTCTATACAGTTTAATTTTGATAACCAGGTCATTCACTTTTTTACAGCTGAAGAAACTAAGGCTCACCAAGATTAAGTTTATACAGAAATCAACAATAATAAGAGAGGGGGTGGGAGTGAACCCACGTTGCTCTGTCTCCAAAGTTTCAGGGTCAAGTGCAAAGAACAAAGACCCTGTGGGACCAAGTTATATGAGAAGGTTGGGAAGGCACAATCAAGGAGGCTGGCTTTTGGCAGGAGGAAGCAAGCACATGCCTCCAGGAACAGAAGTACGGAGTGGGTGGGTAACTGATGGATGAGAACTGGGGTGGGGGGAGCAGAACAGGTGATAAAAGGGAAGCAGGTAGGCCCCTCAGAGTTTCACCTCCCCTGAGGCTCTGGAGTCCCCAGCTGCCCGGTTCTCTCGCCTGTTATTCTAGATTTCTGTTTAACCAGTAAACACAGGCGAGGAAGGCAGTGCTTCTCAGGGTGCACGGCTCAGGTGACCCTCGCACAGAGATCTTTATTCTAAAAGATCAGAGGGATCCATTATATTTTTCATACTGGAAGGGCTACAAGTTGAGCAAAGCATGTGCTCCGATCGATAGGTTTTCATCATGTTGTATTTTTATTTACAGTAAAAGCATTAGCTTGATAAACGGTGCACCTTTGTGGGATGAGGCACCATGACAATCACTGTGATTACTCCTAAGGTCCCCAGCACTTACCATCACTGGCCTCAGGGCAAGGCACTGGACTCAGGCTGTGTGTAATTTAAATCACGCAAACTCGGCATCAAACTTCACAGAACAGCAAGTACCTGCATCAGCACTGCTTGGTGTGCTTGTTACATGGTGAACACTCTTGAACTCCGACCTGGCCCTACTCGCTCAGAACCTCTGTGGTGGGGAGGGGCTGGGAATCAGCCTTTTAAATCACTCTGAGTGATCCTTATCTTGGCATGTGAATGCCCATTTTACTTACAAGGTACTAAGAAGTAAAATGATTGCCAAAGATAACATCGCCAAATACAGGATTTGGACTCACTTGAGCTTCAGAACCTGGGCTCTTAACTGCTCTGGAGTTCTATCTTCAACAATTAAGCTTGTGATTCAATTAAAACCAGGCACAACAGTGAAAGAGATTGCCTTTAAAACCAGATCTGGCACCATCAATCTGCACACTGTCATCCAATTTCCCAAACTATCATTCTCTATAAGCACACAGAAAGGTTTCTTATTTTAAATTTTAAAAAATTAATGCATTATACTTCCCCTGAGCTCCTAACAATTCATTTCAGTTTAACAGACTTAGGCTATCTGTGAGCAGTTTCAGTGCTTCATCAGATGGGACTGGCTGCGTCAGAAGCGCAGCCAAACCCCTGCAGTAATTAGCAAACGTGGGAAAGTCAAAGCAGAGCGGACCGCAAGCGGGCAGAGGCGGCACCCTAACTACGGCCTGGCTCACCACAGGATGCCGACTTTCTGTCCACCAGAGTCACACGCCGGGTTTCAGTGCGGAGCCTCTCGTCTGTGTTCTCCACCAGGTTGGCAAGGTCATCAATTATCTCTAGAAAGGAAAACAAAGATGCATGGTTAACCCTCCAAAATACCCTGGCTCACAGCAGGCTAGCAGAGCTGCGGTGGTCCTTCCCAGGAAAAACTGTCCCAGGCAGCCAGCGGAGGCAAAGCACTCCTGTGTGTTCCTCGAAAACTGCCATTCTCATTCAGAAAAGGGGGGAAACGGGAGTGGTAAAGAAAAAACCTGGCTCAACACAATTTCCAGAGACAGGGGAGAAACGTCAAAAGTTCAGGGGAAAGAAAGCACGCCCAACGAGTGTATGGGCAGCCAAGTGTCACTCAGGTGATAAAGGTGACAGGCCGACTTCAGGGACAGCTGGGGTCCTTCTTGAGAAAACTACTGGATGCTGAAATCTAGTCGCCAAGAATGGAGAGGCCAGAGACCATAGAGAGCATGGTGAGCGCTGCACCCATTTAAGTGCTGAGCAGAGAAGAAACAGATAATGGGTTCGGTTACGGAAAGGTGAAGGCGGAACTACAGCTGGAAGCCAGGACGCCGGGGCGGGTGGAAGAAACTGAAGGGGAATCTCTTCATCACTCACAGCAGAGCCGCGTTAAGCTGTTAAAAAGTAAAACAGAGTAACTTAGAGCTTTATAAAATCACCAAAGCTTCAATGTTTTATGAAATGTTTTTTGTTAACCTCAGATGGATTTTTTTAGTAATTACTCTCTTGTAAAGAATCCTTTATGGTTTGTCTTTTCATTTTTAACACTAATCTTTTAAAAGCGAACTTAAGCACTAAATATTTAAGGTAGCATATATAGTATGACCCTAATTATGTAAAAATATTTCCACCTATCCTTTTATATGTGTAAACCTAGAAGGACATATCTGGATGATGTTAACCTATCGTCAGCAATGACTATTTCTAGGTGGTGGGATCCTGGGTGACCCTCCTTATATTTTCTTCAGTGTCTGAATTTTTTTTATGATGAAAATGTTATTTTTTCCATTTTGACTCTCTTTTCCTCCCTCCTTTCCCCTCTTCCTCTCTTGCTCACTGATTGCTTTAGAGGTACGTTGTCCTACACACATCACCACTTTTCTTACCAATAAAACAAACAAGGGCGTCAGGGGGCTCCTGGAACGAGGCTGAGCTGAGCTCCGAAGGCGGCCTGCGGAGGCGGAGAGTGGCGCTCCCCCTCCAGCCTCCTGCGGCCATTCCTGCAACTTCTTTTTACTCACAAGCCCTGAGACTTTTGTATTCTAATTATTTGTTTGCATGCCTTCCTTTCCCAGAGAGACTAGGGCAGAAACTAACTTGTATTCAGTTCTATACCTCCCACCCCACGAGAGTACCTGGTACACGGCAAGATAACATAAATACTGAAAGATAAAGGCGATGAATGAATGGAGACTCCCAGATGAAAGCACTGAACAATTCCTAAACACTTTGATGCTTCTTTAAAAAGTGAATCTAAGCCAAGTTTGTCAAGTACTCATATAACACCTGTCCCGAAAATCCACTATTCATTCACAAGTCTCTATGCCCTTGTCCACAATGACATCCTCTCTCCTGTCTGTCCTTTCACCTACCTAAAAGCTCTACCGAGGTCCCCTCTTCCTTTGAAATACTGGCGACCCCAAGAGTTGTTTATTTTTACTCTATAGTACTATCAGGGTGATTTTATATACCTTTTAGTTCATCGATATTTAAATTAAAAATGTGAGAGTTTTCTGCTCTATAAAGCTCTCCAAAATTCTTGACCCATACAGCCAACTGCCTACTACTTATCTCTACCTTGAAATTCCTACAAACTTCTGACTCTCAAGGTCTCTAAAACTGAACTCTTCATGTTTCCCCAAATCTCAAGTCCCTCCAATAATGGCACCGCCGCTCCTCTGCTTGCCCAAGACAGAAATCTTAGGAGTTACTTGACCTTCTCCCTTCCCCTTCTCTTACACTGGACGCTCCATTTTTTGGCCACTCTCAATCCTAACATTTCTCTTAAACTCTACTATTACTAATATCTAGCAAAAATTTTCCAGTGTTGCTGAGACAATGTCCTAACTTACCTTCCTGTTTCTACTCCTGAGTCCTTTTGATCCATTCTCCATACTATAGCCAGGGACATGTTTTTTTCATATTTCAATTAATTAAAATTTAAATAGCCATGTGTGGCTAGTGACTATTATATTGAGTTACAAAGCTCTAAGTATTTTTTTCAAAAAAAGAAAACCCAAACACATACCCACTACCACTATCACCACCACAACTAAGTTATTGCTTTTAAAAAAAATCAACAGAGGGAATAAAAATAAATATTAAAAGTGCATGATTCACTCAAGAGGCGGCAAAAAGGCAAAGAGGAACAAAGAAGAGACAGAACAAAAAGAATCTAGGTACCCAGAAGGCAGACTAAACCCCACTGTATTAGTTGTCAGTTAAACATAAACGGAAAAACTGCTCAATTAAAAAACAAAGAATGTCAGGCAAGATTTAAAACAAAGACAACACAACTATATGCTTTCACAAGAAACTCATTTTAAATATAAAACACAGAAAGTGTTTGCATGAGAAAGCTGGCTGGTTTTATTAACATCAGACCAGGCAGACTTCAAGCCAAGGAGCGTGATCAGAGATAATAAGGGCGTTTTCTCGTGAAAGAACACACGTGACAAAAATGGGAAAATCCCGGGTATCTGAATATTAGGAAACTGCCTGTAAATAACCCCCGGGATAATGACCATGACAGTCCAAAATAAGAGTTTGTGGGATGCAACTAAAGCAGTGCTGAGGGGGAAGTTTATTGCTTAAAACACATATATCAGAAAAGAAGAAAGGTATAAAAATCAATGATCAGACTACAGGCAATAGTCATCCGATCATTTCAATGAGTGCATGAAACGGATTAGGCAGAATTCAGTGGTCAATCAGGATACAGGTTCTCAACAAAATGGGAAAGAAAGGGAGGGCCTTCCCCCTGATGAAGGGCAGGTACAAAAACCTTACTTGAACAGCACCCTTAATGGGGGGCACAGAACACTTTCCCTAGGATCAGGAGCAAGGCGAGGGTGTCTGCTCTGACGACCTCTGGTGAACGCTTTGTTAGAAGTCCTACACTGTTTAACAGGAAGAAAAAGGCAGAGAGATTTAAAGAGAGGGTGCAAACGTGTATATCTGACGTGACTGTGTACATAGAACATTCTATGGAATCCATTTAAAAAATAACAGATTAAGTGAATTTAACAAGTCCACAGATACAAAATCAATTGTAAAGAGCAATGTATTTCTATATACTAGTGACAAGTGAAAAAATGAAAGTAAAAAACAATATCATCTAAAATAGCATCAAAAACTACATCAAATGCTAGAAATAAATCTAACAAAAAATGTGCAAGACCTCTATGCTGAATACTATAAAACACTATGGGAGAAATCAAAGACCTAAACAAATGGAGAGCTATACCATACATTCATGGATTACAAGACGCAATGTCTTAAAGTTATCTGTGCATTCTCCTCAACTGATCTATAGGTTCAGTCCAATTCCAATCAAATTCCTAGCAGGCTTTAAAAATGAAATTGGCAAGCCAATTCTAAAATGTGCATGGAATGCAAGCGATTTAGAATTGCCAAAATAATCTTGACAAAGAAAAAAATTCAAGATTTATTATAAATATGTAATAACCAAGAGACTGTGGTGTTGGAATAAGTATAGACAAACAGATCAATAGAACAAAACAGAATCCAGAGATAGACCTTGTCTGTGTGTGTGTGTGTGTGTGTGTGTGTGTGTTAATTCTCAACAAAGCTGTCAATAGCAAAATCAGTCAAACAGGGAAAGAAAAGCCTTTTTAACAAATGATGTCGGGACAAGTGGATGCCTGTATGGGGAAATAAAAAAGAATCTTGACCTTTCCTCCCACCATACACAAAAAATTAACTTGAGATGGCTCATAGATCTAACTGTAAAACCCAGAATTGTACATCTCCTAGAAGGAAAACTAGAAAACACTCATGAACTGGGTGGGCAAAAATTCTTGGACAGAACATAAAAAGTCTATCCACCAAAGACAAAAAACACTGGTCAATTGGACTTCATAAAAAAATTTTTTTCTGCTCATCCAAAGATACCACTAACAAAATTAACATACAGACTGGTAAATATTTACAGGCCATATATCTAAGTATTTGTATCTAGAATATATAAAAAGAACTCCTACCTATTAACATTAAACATAACAAACAGACTTAATTTTAAAACAGGCAAAAGATCTGAACAGGTGTTTTGTTAAAGGAGATGTACAAATGGCCAATATGCACATGAAGAGGGGCATTAGTCATTAGGGAAATGCAAATTTCAACCACAGCAAGTACTACTCCATGCCCGTTAGAATGCTAAAATTAATGCTAATTACTGGGGAAGGTTTGGCACAAAATTAATTGGCGAAGTGTTTGTCAGTTTAATCAAGTTAACCATACGTCTACCCTATGACCAGAAATTTCACCCCTAAGTATTTAACAAACAAAAGTAAAAACATATTACCCAAAAAGACCTTGTACAAAGCAGTCTTATTTGTTAAAACCTAAAACTAGAAACGGCACCAATACCCATCCACAGGAGAATGAATAAGGAAGTTGGGGTTTGTCTGTACGATGGAATACTATTCAGCAATAAAAACAAAGAGCTACTTATCAATACAGCAACTGTGTAAACCTCAAAAGCACTTTGTTGGCTAAACTAAGAAAATGAAATCAATATACACGTGATGATTCCATTTATATGAAGTATAAAGATAAACCTAATCTGGATAGAAATCAGAAAGTACTTGCTCCTGGGGATGGAGGGACTCACTAGAAAGGGAAATGGAATTTTCCAGAGGATGGAAATGTTCTAAATAGTCACACAAATGTACATAGTTGTCAAAACACACAGAACTGAACATTAAAGATCTGTGCATTTTGTTGTATGCAAATTATACCTCAATTAAAAAACGTAAATCTGAAAAATATAAAGTTTACAATATTATACTATTCCTAAGAT